CATCATCTCCCGTCGTATCCTCAAGGACAGATGCCACCCCTCACCCCCCTCACATATCTATCTTGCCTTACCCCCCCCCCCCTCCCTCTCTCTGACCCCGCGCACCAGGGACACGCGCGCCCTCCCGCCCCCCGAAGGCCCCCCCCCCCCTCCCTCGCTCTGATCCCGCGCACCAAGGACGCGCGCGCCCTCCCGCCCCCCGAAGGCCCGCGCCCGGACGACGGCAGGGTTCTGAGCGAGGCCGTACTCGCCCTGGAAGATGCACCACTCCCTGAGGTACCAGGCAGCGCGGGGGGCGCGGTTGGTCACCTCGAGAAACTCGCTGGCCATCGCGGCGACGATCTCCCCCGGGGGCGGGGGCAACCCTCGCCTTGTTACTCCTCATCCCACCCCCCCGCCCGCCGCTCGTCGCTGCACTTCCCTGTCGTCCTCGCCGCCGCCCCAACCCCGATCACCATGGCCATCGCATCGCCAATCCAAGCCGCCATCACCCCTATCGTGACCATCGTCGTCACCATGATCTTCGCCGTCGCCGCTGTCGCCGCCATCATGCGCTATACCTCGTCACCGAACAATGCGCGAGACACGCATGCACAACATAATCAAATAATCTCAAGATGTAGGAAACAGACCCGTGTCCCCCGTCCCCCCGCCACCCCCGCCACCTCTTCCTGCTCCTCCCCCCCCCTCCCCTCCTCCTCCTCCTCTTCCTCCTCAGCCTTATCCTCGTCATCATCAGCATCGTCAGCATCGTCGTCATCGCCCACCCCATCCTCGTCATCATGCGCTAAACTACTGCACAGCAAAATGCAACGCATCGCAATGTCAAGGCGCATCATGTCCAGCTGCACAGCTCTCCTTCTCTCTCTCTCTCTCTCTCTCTCTCTCTCTCTCTCTCTATCTCTCTCTCTCTCTCTCGCCCTACTTCTACCTCTACATCTCCATGTGCCTGTATATCTATGTCTCTCTCTCTATATATGCATTGCTCTGTTTCGCTTTATCTTTCTCTCTCTCTCTCTCTCTCTCTCTCTTTCTTTCTCTCTCTCTCTCTCTCTCTATATCTCTCTCTCTCTCTCTCTCTCTCTCTCTCTCTCTCTCTCTCTCTCTCCCTCTCTCTCTCTCCGACCCCGTGTGGCTCTTCTCCCCCCCCCCCCTGCGCCAGACCTCCGAGCCCTTGTAGTACTTGCCGAACCTGTCCTTGCCAATGCCCCACATAGTACCTCCCCTCCCGGGCGGGCTGGGGGTGGAGAAGGGGGGCGAGGCAGCCGCGCGGGTAGACGGTGGAGAGGGGGGCCAGACAGTCACGCGGGTAGACGGTGCACGAACGTGCAAAGCGACAAGGGGTGGAAAGGGAGGGCGAGGCAGTCACGCGGGTAGACGGCGGAGAAGCATGAGCAAGGGAACGAACGCAGCCGCGGCAACACCAGAGGCAAGGCAAGGGCGCGCGAAGGCGGCAACGATGAAAGGAAGAGAGGACGCGAAGGAGCGCGGCTGAGCGCGGCGAGGGAAGGCCGAGGGGAAAAGGATGGAGGCCGACGGAGGTAAGGTAAGGGAGATATATTGCGGGGGCTCCCCATCATCACTACCTACTGGGACTGGGCCCCACTGCTACCGTTACCCCCCCCCCCCCGCCGCCCTTCCAATTCCAACCCCCTTGTTGCCCTTTCTCCTCCGCCTCCGCTGATGCCAGGGGCCCCCTTCCCGAGGCGCCCTGATGAAGGTTGCGGCACTCCGCCACCGCCGATCTCTCGCACAGGTGGACCATCTGCTTCAAGAACTCCTGGCGCGGCGGGGGCGAGCGGGGGCTGGGAGGGGGAAGTCTCGGGAGGGGCAGGGTGGATGCAATGCTGGAGGAGAAATGTGAATGTGCGAAGGAGCTGGAGGGATCGCGAGGATCAGAGGGGGCCAGGACCAGAAAGGGGAGGATCGGAGCAAGCTGGACCAGCAGGAGGAAGGCAACAAGAGGACGAGGGAGGAGGAAGACGAGGAAGGAAGACCGCGAGTCGGGATCGTTGGGGCGGGCGGTGCTCCACCTGATACCCCTCCTGCCGCTTGGTCACCCCTCCTCCTGGCCCGCGCCATCTCTCCTGCTCCCGTCTCCTGCTGGCTGATCGCTCCATCTCTCCTCCTCCTCCTCCTCCCCCTGACTCCCCAGTCCTTCGCCGCATTGTCCAGCGGGCCAACGACCCACGACACGTCGAGCGGCCGGTCATTGTCGTCGACGCCAGGCGAGCCGTAGGGGCCCGTCACCGCGTACTGAGGGGCCCGACGGGCGCGCCATCCCGATGCTCATTATCATCCTCGTCCTCGCTCTCATGCCGCTCATGCCCCCTGATTCTCCTCGCCCTCCTCATTATCATGATCATCCTCGTCCTCGCTATTGCCTTCCTCCTTATCATCACCCTCCTCCATGCCGACCCCCATGATCATCCTCGTCGTCGTCCTCGCCCTCATCATGGCCACCGTCCGCACTCCGACCCCGCCCCCGCGACCCCCGCCACTGCGTTCATCATCGTGGCCATGGCCGCCACCACCCCCGCTGCCATACGCGAGCTCCTTATCACCCCCCCTCTCCAGTCCCATCCCCCCCCCCCCTCTGCACAAAAAGCGGCGCCGTGAGAGACTTAGCCATGTGGCCCGCGGAGTTGGACCACATGACAGGAATGTTGCATATGCAGTTGGTGCCCTGCTGAACGTCGCCACAGCGGCCGCATGCGCGGGCCCCCTCTTTGCTCAGCCTGGAGGGGGGCGCGGGCCACTGGGAGGGAGGATCAGTTCAAGGAGGAGGCCCAATATGAGGAGGAGTAGTAGGTCATGAGGAAGCCGATCGCTTGGAGGACCGCCAGGGCGCCAGGATGCGGCGACGAAAAGCATGGGAGTGGAGATGGAGAGGGGGTGGGGCGAGGAGGAGGGATGATCATGATAAGGAGGGAGGGCCGATGACCACAAGGGAGGGTTGCACAATAATGATGTCGGGCGAGGGTTGGGTTGATGAAGGGTGGAGCTGGGATATTACTGTAAACTACCTCGTTTTGGTCATCGATCCTTCTCCTGCTCTTCCATCGCGTCCACGCGGTCCTTCCCCACCTTCCTGAGTTCCCTTCTTCTGGCTCCTCCATCTTCCCCATCACTCGCCATCATCTTCGTCTCCCTATCACTCGCCATCATCTTCTGGCTCCTCCATCCCCCATCCTCCCCATCACTCGCCATCATCTTCGTCTCCCTGATCTTCCCATCCTCTGGCTCCTCTCCTCTGGCTCCTCCTTCCTCCCCATCCTTCTCCCTGATCTTCGCTCGCCCCCTGATCCTCCCTCCTATCGTGCGTTTCACGCGGCGCGCCTGCGGCGCTTGGCCGCGGCCGCCGCCGCCGCCTTGGCGGGGGGCGCTGCCGCAGGCGGCGCCGCGGCCGCCGCCGCCGCCGCCGCGCGGGGGCGCTGCCGCTGGCGGCGCCGCGGCCGCCGCCGCCGCCGCGGCGGGGGGCGCTGCCGCCGGCGGCGCCACGGCCGCCGCCGCCGCCGCGGCGGGGGGCGCTGCCGCCGGCGGCGCCACGGCCGCCGCCGCCGCCGCGCGGGCCGCCGCCGCCGCGCCACCCCACGGCATCGAGAAGCGAGAAGGGGGAGAGCGAGAGGCGAGAGCGAGGAAGGGGGGCGCACTTGGACCAGAGGCCTTCAGGCAATGCGCAGGATGGGGAAGGAGAAGCACGTTCAAGATGGATGTGGGAAGAGCAAGGAGGACATAACGATGAAAGAAAGAAGGAGACAGCGTTGATACCCTAATGTGGGAAGGGGGAGAGAGGGATGCTGACAAATAGTATGACGGGTGGAGATTGGAGGAATCGAGAAGCGCGCGGGCAGGAAGCAGGGGAGACATCGGAGGAGGAGGAAATAATGAAGGAAAGGAGGCTGAGGAGGATAGCTTTTGAAATGGAGTCGGCGCCAGGGCGATGAGATGGCTGGCTTGGGGGATAGCAAGCTGATAAGGGAAAAAGGAGGGATACGAGGCTGAGGAGGGAGTTTTTTTTATATAGAGGGATACCAGGCAGATGATGTTGTTGCTGCTTGCGCAGGCGGCCATGGCTCTAGTGATGTAATCGTTTTGGGGGGCAAGAACAAACCTGAATACCTCTGGGGGGGGGTCTAGCACGTGTACATGCGGAAAGGGCCGTCCGCCGGACATAATTCACACGTCACCAACCCCGCCGTTTCAACATCCTCACAGCTCAGCGAGTATGCAGGGCCGTCTCCAGGGCCGCGAGCGGCTCCCGAACCTGGCTCGGCCAGATTCCGGCTCCTGCAGGACCCTACGGGATCCTGCAGGATCCGGTGCTCTGGCCGAGCCCCGCTTGCGCTATAGAACCCTGTTGCCTGCCGGCGGCTGACCTGCCCCCCTCAAAACGTTGCCCCCTGGCCCTCGGGCCACACCTCGGCTCTCCGGCGGCCGCTCGTGGCGGCCTGGGCGCCCCCTGAACGCCCACGGCGAGGCGCAGCCGCCGAAAGGCACCCAGAGGATGAGAGAACGCCAAGAACCGCAGGAAACGCCCGAAAACATCGAGCCTCGAACCCCCCCGCCTCCCCCCCGAGCGTATTCCTCCCCGGAAGGCTTCTCGGAAGGAGGCTGCTTCTTAGAAGGAGCCGGCCTTGCTACAGATAGATGAAGAGCCGGCGCCTTCCAAGAAGCAGCCTCCTTCTAAGAAGCCTTCCCAAACATGCTCGCGCCCTGAAAAAATCAGGACGGCGAGTTTTTGTCGTTTTCAGCCCCGAGCGCTCCGCGCCGGGCCTGGGGACCATCCAAAAACGACTCGGGAGGAGAAACCGGCCCTGGGGATAGGCCCGGGACGTCCAGGGGCCCCACATTCCACAAATCAGTACATCGCACGTCTGGGTTCCCCCCCCTCCTACTCCTCCCGGGCGCGCGCCGCCAACCGGGCGGCGCCGTCCGCCCAGATGGGAGCAGCGGCGGCAGAGGCCGCACGCAGCCGGCGGCCGGTCCGGGGCGCGCGCGGAGGCGGCACGCGAGTCGTTTGCGGACTGCATGCGCCAGACGGACACGGGGGCGCCTCGGGGGGGGGGCTTCCGCAGGCGAAGAAGCGGATCTTTGTCTCGGGAAGAGAGGGGGAGTCCTCCTCCTCCTCCTCCTCCTCCTCCTCCTCCTCCTCCTCCTCCTCCTGCTCCTGCTCCTGCTCCCCTCCCTCCCTCCCTCCCTCCCTCCCTCCCTCCCTCCCTTCTCCTCCTCCTCCTCCTCCTCCTCCTCCTCCTCCTCGCCGGTCATCCCGCGGCGGAGGGGCGCTTGCTGGCGATGATGCCCGGGTCGGCGTGGGGGCTGGAGCTGTCGTGGGCGGCGATGGCGTCGGCGCTGGCGGCGGTCACAGAAAGCTTCTCGGCGCCGAGCTGAAAGCTGCTCATCCGCTTGATCGCAGTCCCTAGGCAGCGGGGTGAAATCGCCTGAAGCCGCGTCCCATGGACTAGCCTGACGAATCCACTCCTGGGAAGCATAAAATCGCACGAATGAGTTCGCAGTCGACGCGGGCGCCCAGGTTCTGGACGAGGACGGCGTGGGCGGCGGAGGACAGCACGGGGTCTCGCGGCGCATCCGGCCGTGGCGGCGAGGGACGCTCCTGGGCGGCACACCCCGAAGGGCCAAGTAGGGGGGGGGGGCCGAGGGAGGCTCCGGGGAAGTACCCATCATGTGATGTTTTTCGCAGCCTCTGCCCGGGTCTGAGCCCCCTCGTCGCTTCCCCCCGGCATGCCCCCCTGGTGGGGCCCCCGCTGAAGGCTGCTAGCGCTCCGGGGGCGTCAGCGTCAACCGCCGGTGTCGGGGCCTGGCGGCCCTCGCCGCCAGCGGCGGCGGCGGTGGCGGCGGCGGCAGCGACGGCGGGCGGGTGGCGCATCCCTGGCTACGCGTGGCGATGGGGCTGGGGCGTCCCCGCCGATTCCGCCGAGGGCTGCCGGGCTCTGCGGGCGGCCAGGGCGGTGTCCGCGGTGGCCTCGACGAGCGCCCTGCCAGCGCAGGCGACGTCCAGGCGGAAGGGTCCGCTTTCGCAGACAGCAGACTTTAACAGCATGGGGTGGTTGTCGCACTGGTCATGCTTGTCCCTGGAGGTCTGCTTCAAGATGCTCGAGATGAGGTTGGGAATAACTCCTCCGCGTCTCCGTTGAGGTTGTTTGTGTCCTGACTGGTTCGCGGGTTCTCCAACGCGTTGTCCGTGTAAGGATGGCGGTGGCAGCTGTTGCGGGCGATGATCCGATGCTGCCACATCAGGAGCGTGACAACAACCCTGGCTATGTGGCTACCCTTGCGGACAGCGTAGGCCTACCTCCCGGAGAAAACAGCTACTCGTAGCTGATCCTCCTGGGTGTGTTTCGGTTGATCGCCAGTGTACTCGTAGCGGTTCTTCTGGTCGTAGGCGGCGTTGGCGGCGTTGGCCGCGACCGCCTCCGGCAGAGGCAAAGGACGGGGGTGCACGGGAGTCCCCGCGGGCGAGGCCCGTCACGGCCGCCAGGCGGCTGGCCGTGTCGCATGGGCATCGCGGGCGCCACGGCCGCGGGCAGCGCTGCAGCGCCGCCATGGCGCACAACAAGCGCCGCGCTTAAGCCGCCGCCTCCTCCCCCATTTTCCTCCTCCTCCTCCTCCTCCTCCTCCTCCTCCTCCTCCTCCTCTTCCTCCTTTTTCTCCTCCTCCTCCTTCTCAGCATCATCATCGTCATCATCATCGTATCATCATCATCATCATCATCATCATCATCATCATCATCATCATCATCATCATCATCATCATCATCATCATCATCATCATCATCAGCATCAGCATCAGCATCAGCATCAGCATCACCATCAGCATCAGCATCAGCATCACCATCATCATCATCAGCATCATCATCATCATCATCATCATCATCAATCATCATCATCATCATCATCATCATCATCATCATCATCATTGCATCATCATCATCATCATCATCATCAGCATCATCATCACCACCACCACCACCATCATCTTCATCATCATCAGCATCAGCATCAGCATCAGCATCATCATCATCACATCATCACCATCATCATCATCATCATCATCTCATAATCATCAGCATCACCATCATCATCATCATCATCATCATCAACAACATCATCATCATCATCATCATCATCATCATCAGCATGATCAGCATCAGCATCATCATCATCATCATCATCATCATCATCATCATCGTCATCATCATCATCACCATCATCATCATCATCATCATCGTCATCCTCTTCCTCCTCCTTCTCCTCCTCCTCCTCATTATCCGTCCTATTTCCCCAATCGAGGTTTATACTCGGGGGGTTGTACTGCTTTTATGAAGAAATGTGCTGGTGTGGCGGCCTGGCGGCTATGTTGTCGCCGTCGCCGCCCCGTCGCCGCCCAATCGCCGCCTCGTCGTCGCCCGTCGTCTGGGCCGGTGTGGCGGTCTGGCGGCTATGTTGTCGCCGTCGCCGCCCCGTCGCCGCCCATCGTCTGGGCTGGTGTGGCGGCCTGGCGGCTATGTTGTCGCCGTTGCCGCCCCGTCGCCGCCTCATCGCCGCCCGTCGTCTGGGCCTGGGTGGCGTTCTTGCGGCTATGTTGTCGCCGTCGCCGCCACGTCGCCGCCCAGTCGCTTTGCACCACATCGATTGCACCACAGATATTGCACAGCATAAATTTCACAACTCACATTTTTCTGAAACAAGATCCGGATCTACCCACCCCCCGGATTTAACGGATCACAATTTCGCATTGCAATTGACATACGATTCTGCCCCATCGTCCATCCGAAATACGAACTGATATCATCTCAGCCAAACTGGTAACGGATCCCCTCCTCATCCTCTGCCAAAAAAATGTGCGCGCGCACATTCGCTACCACAAATCATCCATGTTCAAGAAATCCTTGCAAAAACCGGGACGAAGCGCACACGGGCGCGTCGTCGCGTGCGCATACCGAAATCTTTCGTAAGGATTTCAAAATCGCGTGTCCCGAAAACATATAAAAACATATGCCTTCACAACACGGATACGCTCGCGCCCCAGCAGATTTGTCAGAAAACCAGAAGCGCTTCAACATGCTCATAGCATGCTACCAAGTGGGCCTCCCGCGCGTGCGTGTCGAAATCGCTCGAACGCCATTGCACGCGTGCTGTCGCAAGAAGAACATGCAAAAACGGGACGCAGTGCACACGCGCGCGTCGACGCGAGCGCATGCCGAAGTCCTGGAACAAAAACTGCGGCATCGTAAGGGGTTCCAAAATCAGGTGCCCCGAACACAAAGAAATGGTTTCGCAAGACCCGTGTTCAAACATGTCTGCGCTCGTGCTCCGAGCTTTTCAACATTCTCATCAAGGTCGGCCAACCGGGCCCCTTGCGCCACACGTCGAAATCATTCGAACGCCCTTGCGCGCGCCGGGGGGGGGCCGATCCGTGTCAAGAAGTACCACGCGGGCCACTCTCGCGCGTCGGCCGCGCGCGCATGTCGAACTCTCCCCGAAACATCCATCACCGACGCGAAGGCACCGTAATCGTCGTCGACGTGATCAGCATCGGCGCCATCGGCCTGGCCTTGCTGTCGTCGTTGTCATCATCGTCACCAGCATCACTACAATCATCATCGAGTCTACAATTGTCGACGGTGACATGATGCCGCGCCCGCCCAAGTCGCCGACTCGCACTGAAAAGCCCGCTGGGAAATGCCCAGCGGTCAGCGCCGCCCCGGCCACGTCGGTGGCGCCAAAACTATCTGGCCGCTGCGCGCGCGAGCATGCGCGGGCGAGCGCGGCCGCAGAGATGCACCAGCCAACTTCAACCACTCATCGCAATCGCCGCCGCATGGGTTTTGCAAACCAAGTCGCGGGTGGGTGGGTGGGATGATTGCGCCGGCAGTGGAATGGACCACTCGTTGCGAATTCTGGTGAACTGCAGTTCACAGGTGCACCACATATATGTATAGATACATATACTGCATCGCATCGGGTGTACAGCATAGAGAGCTCCCCGTATATCGCACAGCAAAAGATTACACAACGTAGGTTGCACCGCATAGGTTGCACCACAGACTGCCCCGCATGGATAGCACCACCTGGATTGCCCTACATGAATTGTCCAACCCCTATCTTGCACAACATCGAAAAACTTATAGACTGCACATCATAAATTGCAGAACCCAGGTTGTACCACATATATTGCACCACAGATTGCACAACATTGGTTGTACCATCCAGATTGAACCCCATGGAGTGCACACCATATATTGCACCACCTAGGTTGCACCATCTATGATACACCACGTGTACTGTACAACATGCAATGTACAACATATATTGTGCAACACATATTGCACCACCTAAATTGCGCGATTGCCAGAAGCAAGCTAAATTGTGTCCACGCTGGCTAACTTGATCTTATAAGTAGATCATCCCTGTCGCACCCCCCGGTGTGTCGGTAGGGCGGGCTGGGCGCTTCGCTTGAGACTTTCCCACCATTTCTGACCCTGAAGTTGTGACGTTGCAACAGCTTTACGGATGGAGGGCGGGTCGTTTCACAAATTAAAAATGTGGCTCTAGCCGTAGTGCCGCGCACATTCGTCATTCAGTTTGCAATCGCTTCAAGGATGGGTGGCGGTTGGTGTTCTAAGTGCGGCGCTCGCTCCAGCGCAACGCCCATTCGCCCTAAGTATGCAACCGAATCACGGATGAAGACTGGCTGGCTTTCAAAATGCGGTTCTCGCCTTGGCGCCGCCTACATTCGACTTAACGGGCGGTATTCGCGTCAAGGATGGTGGGCGGTCCCGTATCAAAATGCAGCTCCCGCCTCAGCGCCGCGCAGATTCGTCTTGAAAGGTTACAGCTGCTTCAAGGATGCGAACGGTGGAAATCACAGGCAAAGTGTTCTGGCAGGATTGCCGAGCATCAGGGCGCAGCAGTCCTGTGGACTGATATGGCGTTCAAATCCCAGGAGGTGCGTTCTGGCACAATTCGGGTTTGCTGGGACGCAACACTTCCGTTGATCCGCGGCGCTGAAGCCCCAAGAACCGCGTTTCGGCACGATTGATGATTATCCGACGGATGTCTTCCGATGGGGTATTTCCCGCAATGGAAGTAAAGCTGTGGGGGGCCTATGCGCAGGGAGCTCGGAGGGAGGGTTCATTGCAACATCGTAGATGCGTCTTGGGTTTACACTGGTCCTCATTCTCCTCCTGAGGGGAGGGTGATAGGGGGAGGGCAGGAAGAGGTAAGGGGGCGACCCCGCAGATACACACGCGTGGTGACGAGGAGCGCAGGGAGCCCACAGAGTGCACCCTGCCACCCGCACCAGAGATGACCAGTGGCCGCCAGCGAGAGCACACGGCACATGTGACACGGCGCTGAAGGCGAGGTGCTGTTTAGGGAAAGAAGCAGAAGACCCCCCCGCCCCTATCCCCCTCTGCGACCTGAATGCACCATCCAGGCCAGCAGAGGGCGTCATAGGAGAGCAGGGCTACAGACAGGAGAGAATGCCAGCACGCTCCCTGGGACATGACGAGCCGCCTCAACCCCGCACACGTGGCAACGGGAGCACCGGCAGCACGCAGAGTGGCGACGAAGGCAGAGGCGACACCCAACTGCAACTGCCGACCCACGCAGCGACCAGCGCTGAGGCGTTTGAACGGTAGCCGGCGCTGTGGCGAGAAGAGCGCAGCACCTGCCGCAGGTGCTACCCGAGCACACGGGCTAGCCCGGCGGGCCGGCAGGCCAGTCAAGCAATCAACCAACCAACCGCCAGCGACAGAAGCGGAGGACAAAGCGGAAGGAGGCCGGGCGTGGCATCCCCACGCCGACTCCGCCGGCCAGCGGCCACCGACTGTGAGAAGGGTCCGCCGCGCCGTGAAGGCACTGCCTAGCAGTGAGAGCGACCAATGAAGGCCGCAGAAGCCCCGAGGGGAAGAGGCCACCCAGGGGCCCGCTCCCAGGATTCTCCTGCCCCCCAAATCGCTGCGAGATTTTGGGGCAATGAAAAGCGAGGACATGGGGAACGAGAAAGCCGAGAAGAAGACAGGAAGCGATAGAGAATGAGGATGCGAAGGTTAGGAAGAAGGAGGATAGTAAGGATAATGGCCAGGGAAAGGAAAAATAAAAGGGCAATGATAGGGGGAAGGAGACGTGAAAGAGAAATACCGAGAAGCGGGGCGTCCTCCTTCTCCTCCTCATCCTCCTCCTCCTGCTCCTCCTCCTCATCATCCTCATCATCATCATGAGCATCACCACAACCCCCATCATCATGGGCATCATCATCATCACCACCACCACCACCTTCGTCATCATCATCACCATCACCACCACCACAATCATCACCACCGCCACCACCACCATCATCATCACCACTACCACCACCACCATCATCATCATCATCATCATCATCATCAGCAGCATCATCATCACCACCACCATCACCATCTCCCCCATCCCTCTCTTCGCCCTCGCCCTGGCCCTCACCCTGGCGATCGGAGCAACCGACGAGGCCCCCAGGCGGCCACGAGTGCGCACCTCTTCCTGGCGGGCGGGCGCGAGAGCGTCGCCGCCTCGCTCGGTCTTGAGCGCGCAGGGGCTCACCTTGATCAACTTCTGGTACACCTCACTCGAGGGGGGGAGGAGGGAGGAGGAGGAGGAGGAGGAGGAGGAGGAGGAGGAGGAGGAGGAGGAAGAGGAGGAGGAGGAGGAGGAGGAGGAGGACGGAGAGGGGAGAGGAGTGCTTCTTGTCTGGACGTTTTGCAGAGGACGGCGTGGCAAGAAATGGAAAAGACAGAGAGGAAGGTGGCGGGCGACCGAACCGCCCGTCACACCCGTGCCTGCGGACTGCAGGCACGCCCAGCACCTTCGGCCCCTCCGAATGGAGGGTGCGGAGGGTGCGGAGGGGGAGGCCGAGACGAAGTAAAAACTCGGATGGCTTCCGAAGTCTTCGGCGGTCTTCGGCCACGTTCGGCAGTTCCTGGAGGGCTTCTTCTGGAGGTCTTCGACCTATGGGGAGAGCTTTCGAGGAGGCTCTGATATGATGTCTCCAGATGTTTCGGAGGGCGTCTAGATGTTCTCGGAGGCTTCCACAGACGGAGGGGAAGGAAGGAAGCTGAGACGAAAAATGACAGAGAGGGGTCAGAGGAGGAGAAGTCTGGCAATCGAGGACACAAAAGGTAAGGCCGTCCAGGGCATGCGGACGGCCAGCAGCCAGCGGACCAGGACACCAAGCCATCAGATGCACAGTTACCCTGGGCATGTGGCAGGGAGAGGTCAGACAACGGCAATCCAAAATTGTTCTCCGGACCCCTCTGGGGGTCCAAAACGTACCAGCTGTCCGAGCTGCGTCCAGCCGCGGCTACGATCGGCTACGCGCAAGAGTGACCCTAGGCAAGAGTGACCTTCAGTGCGCGGACTACGGGGGAGCGAGGTGGCCAAATCCGAGCGCGCAAATAGCCACTATTGCATCGCGCTCAGCGATCGGGGGGGACCCGGGTGAGCCCGCACCAGAGGCCACTAAGGCGAAGGGTCACTCTTACGTGTAGTCGACTGAAAGAAACCCCGGTCTGAGGAGGGGGAGGAGGAGGAGGAGGAGGAGGAGGAGGAGGGAGGAGGAGCAAGAGGAGGAGGAGGAGGAGCAAGAGGAGGAGGAGGAGAAGGAGGAGGAGGAGGAGAAGGAGAAAGAAGGGGAGGAGGTCTTACGCACGACGACGTGGCGCCCTCACGGCGCGAGGGGACCTCCCGAAGGCCAACCACCGCTGCCTCCGCTCGCCCTCCACCGAGCGGCCACGCTGTCCGTGCACCGACGGCCTGCACGTCGGGGCCCGCTGCCGCTCCCTGGCCCCTGTACGCCTCCGGCCACCGCCGGCGGTGGAGCTTCAGCACGCGAGCGGCAAGAAGCGACAGGCCCAAGGAGGAGGAGGCGGAGGCGGAGGCGGAGGAGGAGGCGGAGGAGGAGGAGGAGGAGGAGGAGGGGGAGGAGGAGAGGCCAGGGGATTGTGAGGGACCTCGTCGTTTTCACATGGTCCTTATCGAGTGAAACGCTCCTCCGCCTCTCTTTTTCGAGTGAAAGTGTAATGCTTTCTTCTCTTCTGAGTTATCCTCTTCTTTTCTTCTTCTCTTTGTCTCTCTGTGTCTCTCCTGCATCAGGCCAATTCATGCCGATATGATACCAATACATTGCCAACCAATGCCCATGCAATGCCAATTGGGGATTATTTTCTTTCGGTGGATTTCAATAAGAAAGCTTCTGTGGATGATGTCATGACGAATCCTTCCTCGGAGGATTTCGATAGGAATGCTTATGTGGGTGGGTTTCGACAGGAGTCCTGCTTTGGAGGATTTCACTAGGAATCCTTCTTGTGGGGATTTCAATAGGAACCCGTCTTGTTGAAGATTTCAATAGGAGTCCTTCCGCGGAGACAGGCATTAGGACTCGCCAGCGCAATGCCAGCGTAATGCTAAAGCAGTGCCAACGCAATGCCAAACCCATGCCAAGGCGACAGCAATCCAATGCTAATGCTATGCCAATGGGGGCAAATTGTTGTGGTAGCTTTCAATGGAAATCCTCCTAGGGGTTGCAATAGGAATCCGTCTGCGAAGGGAGGCATTGGAACTCCCCCGCGCAATGCCAGCGCAATGCCAATACAGTGCCAACTCAATGCCAGCGCAATGCCAATGCGATCCCAAATCCGATTACAATGCAATGTCGTTGGGGGCAATCCTTTGTGGTAGATTTCAACAGGAATCCAATATTTGGGAAGGGTTTCGATAGGCATCCTTCTGCGAAGGGAGGCCTGAGGACTCGCCAGCGCAATGTTAAAGCAGCGCTAACGCAATGCCAAACCAATGCCAAGGCGACCATAATCCAATGCCAATGGGGGCTATCCTTTGTGGTAGATTTCTATAGGAGTCCTTTTCGTGGAGGGTTGCAATCGGAATCCTTCTGCGAAGGGAGGCATTAGGACTTGCCAGCGCAATGCCAGCGCAACGCTCAAACAGTGCCAACGCGATGCCAGCGCAATGCCAAGGCGACCCGAATCCGATGCCAATGCAATGTCGTTGGGGGCAATCCTTTGTGGTGGATTTCAATGAGAGTCCTTCTTCTGGGGGTTGCAATAGGAATCCTTCTGCGAAGGGAGGCATGAGGACTCGCCAGCACAATGCCAGCGCAATGCCAGCGCACTTCCAACACAATGCCAACACAGTGTTAAACCAATGCCCATTGGGGGCTTCCTCTCTTGGTGTAGTTCAATGAAAATCCTTCTGGGATGATGTCATTGCGAACCCATGTGCAGAGGATTTCAATAGGAATCCATCTGTGAAGGGCTTCGAATGCAATCCTTCTGTGGATGATTTGCAGTTGAATCCTTCTTGTGTGTGGGGGGGGGTCACTAGGCATCCTTCTTGTTGGGGTGGATGAATAAGAATTTTCCTGTGGAGCGTCCGGTTAGGACTCGCCAGCGCAGTGCCAACGCAGGACCAACGAAATACCAAACCAATGCCATGGCGATCCCAATCCAATGCCAATGCAATGCCAGTTGGAGCAATCCTTTGTGGTAGATTTCAATAGGAATCCTTGTTGTGTGCAGGGTCTCAATAGAAATCCTTCTGCGAAGGGAGTAATTAGGACTCGCCAGCGCAATGCCAGAGCAATGCCAAAGCAGCGCAATGCCAGCGCAATGCCCGATCCCAACCCAATGCCAATGCAATGCCAATTGGGGAAATCCATTGTGGTAGATTTCAATAGGAATGATTACGTCATTCAGTGGAGGGCTTCGCATGGAATCCTTCTGTGGAGGATTTCAAGATGAACCCTTTTTGTGGAGGGTTTCAATAGGAGCCCTTCTTGTAGGGGGTTTCAATGGAAGTCCTTCTGTGGAGGGTTCGATCAGGACTCGCCAACGCAATGCTTGCGACGTGCCAGCGCAATGCCAACGCACTGCAAAGCACAATTCCAGCGCAATGCCAAGCCATTGCCAACCAATGCCAATACAATGCCAACGGGGGGATGCATTCTTTCGAAGCATCTCAATAGTAACCCTTCTGCAGGTGATTCCAGTAAGAACCAATATGTGGAGGATTTCAATAACAGTCCTTCTGTGGATGGTTTCGATCGGAATCCTCCTGTGATGATGAGGAGGAGGAAGAGGAGGAGAAGCAAGAGGAGAAGGAGGAGGAAGAGGAGGAGGCAGAGGAGGAGGAGGCAGAGGAGGAGGAGGAGGTCTCACGCACGATGACATAGCGACCCCACGGTGCGCTCTGGCTTCGGCGGGTCGCCAGCGCGGCACGCCACGTTGGAAACGAGGGCTGTCGCGCGCGACCTTACGCGGGCAGCTCACGCGCGAATGCCGTGCTCCTGCGCAGCTCACGCGGCGCGCTTCGTCCTCGGCTCAGCCCACGCGCCCCGCGGCCTTCATCACCGCACTGGCGATCCTCCCGTGCGGCCGCTGCCTGCCGCGCGGTGGAGTTGGGCCCCCAAGCGCTTCCCACACGCCTCGCAGGTGGTGCCGTCGCATCGGCAACACAGCGATCACACCGCCTCCACTCAAGAGACCAGGGCGCCCTCTCGTGGCGACCTTTGAACGGGCGTCTGCCTTCTCTTGTGGCACGCCGCGCCAGCCGCAGCCCGTACCTGGGTCTCTTGCACTCGGCATCCGCTGCTGACGGGACCCATCAGCCTGGTGCCAGAGACGCGTCGCCTGAAAAGCATGCTAGTCAAACTGAACCTGGCACAACACCCTCTGTTCACGCACATCCAGAACGTCCAGATCGTGCAGTGCCGGGTGTATCATCATCATCATCATCATCATCATCATCATCATCAGCAGCAGCAGCAGCAGCATCAGCATCAGCATCAGCATCAGCATCAGCATCTGCATCATCATCACCATCACCACCACCCATCATCATCAGCATCATCATCATCTTCATCAACATCAACATCAACATCAACATCATCATCATCATCACCATCATCTTCATCGTCATCGTCATCATCATCATCATCATCAGCACCATCGACGTCGTCGTCGTCTTCGTCGTCGTCATCTTCATCGTCATCGTCATCCACCACCTCCACCATCAACATCATTACTACCAGCATCACCATGATCATCCTCAAACCCATCACCATCCCCGTGGTCATCGACATATACGGTACGATCAGCAGCAGCAGCAGCAGTTGCAGCAGCCGTATCGTCATCACCATCCTCCTCATCATCATCATCAGCAGCGTCGTAATCGTCATTATCATCAGCAGCATCAGCATCATCATCATCATCATCATCATCATCATCACCACCATCATCATCATCATCATCATCATCATCATCATCATCATCATCATCATCATCATCACCATCACCATCACCATCACCATCATCATCATCATCAACCACCACCATCATCATCATCATCAGCATCGCCATCGTCATCGTCATCGTCATCGTCATCATCAGCAACATCATCACCACCATCACCACCACAACCATCATCATCATCATCATCATAATCATCATCATCATCATCATCATCATCATCATCATCATGTTCATCATCATCATCATCATCATCATCATCAGCAGCATCATCATCATAAGCATCATCATCATCATCATCCGCATCGTCATCATCATGAGAGCTACTCATGATGACCATCATCATCATCATCATCATCATCATCATCATCATCACCGCCATCACCACTATCACCACAACCACCACCACCATCACCATCACCACTATCACCACGACGAACCACCATCATCATCACCATCATCATCATCATCATCATCATCATCATCATCATGTTCATCATTACCATAAGCATCATCATCATCATCATCATCATCATCATCATCTTCATCGTCATCATCATGAGAGCTACTCATGATCATCATCATCATCATCATCATCATCATCATCATCATCATCATCATCATCATCATCATCATCATCATCGCCATCACCACTATCACCACCACCACCATCACCATCACCACCATCACCACGACGAACCACCATCATCCTCATCATCATCATCATCTTCATCCTCATTTTTATCCTCATCATCATCAGCATCATCATCGTAAGCGGTATCATCATCATCATCATCATCATCATCATCATCATCATCATCATCATCATCATCATCATCCTTACCCGCATGACCAACAACATCATCATCAGCATCATCGTCATCATCATGGTCATCATCAGCATCGTCATCGGGATCACGTATCATCATTGTCATCATCAGCATCATCATCATCGGAATCATAGTCTGTAAAATTATCATCCCCATGACCAACAACATTATCAGCATCGTCATCATCAGCAGCAGCAGGATCGTCGTCATCATCATCACCAGCAGCATCAGCATCATCAGCATCAGCACTATCCTCATGATCATGATCATGATCATAATCAGTTCCATTATCATCATTACCACTGTCTTCATCATCATCATCATCATCATCATCATCATCATCATCATCATCATCATCATCATCATCATCATCATCATCGTCATCAATATCACGCTCACCATCAGCATCCCCTGTCGCCTCACACCGCTTCCTGCTCCCCCCATCCTCGTCCTCCTCCTCCTCCTCCCCCTCCTCCTGCTTCTCCCCCCCCCGCACTCCAAGACGACGTCGACGACGATGACGACGAGGACGGCGGCAGCGGCGGCGCCGGCTGCGGCGGCGACGGCGACCTCGAAGATGACGACCATGACGACCACGACGACGACGACGACGACGACGACGACGACGACGACGACGACGACAACAACGACGACGACGACGGCGGCGGCGGCGGCCGCGGCGGCGGCGACTGCGGCGACGAAGAAGAAGAAGAAGAAAACTGCGACGGCGCGACGGCGACGGCGACGGTGCCGACGACAGCGGCGGGTGCCGACATCCGCCGACGGCCGCCGACGGCCGCCAGCGGCCGCCAACGACCGCCGATTGCCGGCGGCCGCCGAAAGCCGCCGAACGCAGCCGCGGCGGCGGCGACGTCGGCAGCGATCCCCTCAGGAAGGCCTCGTCGTGGTGCGGGAACAGCGCGGCCGGCGACGACCCGCCGCGCCGGCAGACGCCCGCGACCCGGTCCCGGACGGCGTCCATGTCGTTGCTCTCGCGCCACTGGATGGCCTGCTCTGCCAGTCTCTGCTCCGCCGCCGTCGCCGCCGCCGTCCGTCGCCGTCTGAAGGGAAGCAGGGATGGAGGAGGGAGAGAGGGAGCGAGGAAGGGAGCAAACGAGGGGGGTGAGGAGTAGGAGGAGGACTAGTGTAAACCCAAGACGTATCAACGATGTTGCAAGAAACCCTCCCTTCAAGTTCCCTCTTCATAAGAAGTCCCTACGCATTGGTTTGCTCATTGCGGGAAGTGCCCCAGAAGACAACCGTCTAAAAATCCCCAACCGTGCCAAAACATCGTTCCTGGGACTTAAACGCCGCGGATTGACGTCGTGCCAGAACACTATTCCGGGGACTTCAACACGGCAAATTAATCCTAAATCGTGCATTATTCCTGGGTTTCGACCGTGCGAACCCTTGAATATGCTGCGAACTTGTAAGATGAATGTGCTTGGCGCTACGGCGAGAAGCACATGTTGAGCAGAAAGCGCCATTTATCCTCGAAATTGCTGTAAACTTTCAAAGCATATTTGCGCGGCGCTCAAGCGAGAACCACATTTAGAAAACCACCCGCCCTCCATCTATGAAACTGCTGCAAAATTAATGTGCGCGGCGCTACGACGAGAGCCACATTTTGAAAACCACCCGCCCTCCAACCGTGAAACTGCTGCAAATCTCTCCCAAGCTTCAGGATTAGAAATTTGATTACCTACCAGACCACCCCAACCTAACCCGAAGACCCGAATGTCCGTTAGGGGGACAGGTTTCACACGTGTTTCTCCAATGCTCCCCGACACCCCCCCCTGGAAACGGAGGGCAAATCGGGGCCTCCGGGTTGGGCCGGGCTGGTTTGGTGGGCGATGAAAATGGCGAGGAACTCTCAGGGGAAACGCCCAGCCCACCTCACGGGCTGGGAAGACAGAAGGCTGCGACGCCACGACACGTCTGGGGGTGCGACAGGCAAGACAAACGCATCAGGGAGAGGGGATGGAAGAGGAAGAGGAGGAGAATCGACGTTCTCAAACGCATCTGGCCTCTGCGGGCCCCTGGAAGCATCCAGGGACCTCCGGATCCCCAGGGGACCGCCGTGCACATCCTGAGCCGCTTCGGGTGGTCCTGGGCCTGGGAGGGGCCGGGAAGGCCACGACCGAAGACCGACCGCACCGACCGCGAGACCGACACCGGGCCCGCAGGCCTCCAGTGCGCCCGGAGGTGCCGAACGGCGCAGCAGCGGCACAGCAGCAGCCGACCGGACCAAACCGCACAAACGCAGCCGACTGCGGCACGGCCGAGCCGACCGCGACCCGCGGACACCCTTCGGACCCGCTGTTTCTTCACGGCGAGCTTCCTTCGGCGAGCTCACTTCGGCCTGGACGCGGCCGAGGGCGAGGACTGGGCGCGTCCCGGCTGGGCCCTCGGGCAGGAGGCGCGGCCTCTTCAAGGCGCCAGGGCCACGCCCATCGGCACCCTTGACACACCCTCCTCTGGCAGGAGAAGGGGATTGGAGGAGGAGGAGGAGGAGGAGGAGGAGGAGGAGGACGAGGAGGAGGAGGAGGAGGAGGAGGAGGAGGAAGAGGAGGAAGAGAGGAGGAGGAGGAGGGAGGAGGAGGAGGAGGAAGAGGAGAGGGAGGAGCAGGAGGAGGAGGAGGAGGCGGAGGAGGAGGAGGGTAGGCTGCGTCGACCTCGACCCCGAAGCCAACAGCGAACAAAGAACAGGAGGAGGAAGGAGGAGAAGGCGGAGGAGGACGAGGAGGACGAGCAGGAGGCGGAGGAGGAGGAGGGAGGAGAAGGAAGAGGAGGAGTAAGAGGAGGAAGAGGCAGGAGAGAAAAAGGGAGGAGGAGGACGAGGAGGAAGAGGCAGGAGGAGGAGGAGTAGGAGAAAGAGGCAGGAGGAGGATGAGGAGGAGGGAGGGAGGAGGGAGGGGGAGGAGGGAGGGAGGAGGGAGAAGGAGGAGGGAGGAGGAGGAGGGAGGAGGAGGGAGGAGAAGGAGGAGGAGGAGGAGGAGAGGGAAGGAAAGAAGGAAGGAAGGAAGGACGAGGAGGAGGGAGATGGAAGGATTGAAGGAAGGAGGGAGGGAAGGAGGACGAGAATCGAAGATCGATCGATCGAGGGACCCGGGCGCCCGGCGGCCCGGCAGGCAAAACAGAAAAATACGGGGAGCGGCCCGCCTCGCCGCCTCTCGCGGGCACGCCCTGGGGGGGCGTCTCGCGGCCCCCCCCGGGCCCCCGCGGGTCCGCGGGCCACGGCTCGGGGCGGAGACGCCGGCCCTGGCGCCAGGCGGCGTCGAAGTTCGACGAGCAGCGCTCCACGGCTCGCAAAGTACTACGACTCGCAAAGTACCGCGGGGGATCCACGATAAATCACGTCGGAGCAGCCGTGTGTCTATCGGACGTTTGCGAGCAGGCACTTTGCGAGCAGTGGAACGCGCTCGGTGAGGGTCGGAAGTGCCCGAACACCGTCGGACATGTCCCCGGAGGTCTGCAGGGGGAACTTTGTCACCCCGAGGGCCCTGGTCGCTTGTTGCCAGGCTGGCCCGCGCTGGCCCTGACGTCCCCCCCCCCGTGGTCACCCCTCCCCCTCCCCCACAGGTCTAGCTCGTTATCGCGAGGGGAAAAATTGGTCTCACGTTGACAAAAATCAGCCACCGTGCCTTAAGCACGTAGTGGAGTGCCCCATTCTCAAGGGCCCAGACCCCCAGTTTCCCAGCTGCTCCTGGGAGCTCCTGGGAGCTCCTGGGAACTCCCGAGAGCTCCTGGGAATTCCCGGGAGCTGCTGGCAGCTGCTCAGCCAGCCTCAGACGACCTCCCGAACCCTCGAGATCGTTTCCAGAACCGCCTCCGATGGCTACACAGATCCCCGGAGCGGTCCAAGACAGCTTTAAGACGACCCACTGTGGCCCCAAGACGGCCCAAGGGGCCCACAAGACGCCTCAAAATGCCCCCAAGAGCATCCGCAAGAAGGCCCCCAAAAGCATAAAGTCGCCCCATTCCCAAGAAGTAAAAATATTCAGCAAATTCGCCTTTTGCGCTTTCACGGCGTCGGAGAAGGCCCAGGAGACTGCCAAGATCGCCCCAAGAGGCCCCGAAGATCGTCCCATGACGGCTCAAGAGGCTCCAACAGGGGCTCCAAACCGGCCCAAGGGTGCGCCATTAGAGCCCAAGAGGCGCCCAAGACACCCGCAAGAGAGGCTCCAGTGGGGAAACACGCACGGGGATTTCGAGCGTGCAGCCCCAAGACGCACCAAGGACGCCCCCAGAGTTCCCCAAGAAAGCCCGAAGAGGCCCCCGAGAGGCCCCCAGGAAGCTCCGCGAGGCCTCAAAGAGGCCCCCAAGAGGCTCCCAAGGGCCTCAAAACTGCCCCCCAGAAACCCCCGAGCGCCCTCCGAAACTACCCCAAGAAGCACCCATGAGAACTCTCACCTAGGACCCAGGACCCAGGCAAAAGGCCTCCAGGAGGCTCAGAACAAGCTCAGCTCCACGCAGATCCACGACTCACAACCCAGGCAAGCTCCGCGAGGCCTCAAAGAGGCCCCCGAGAAGCCCTCAAGGGACCTTCAAAACTGCCCCCCAGGAGCCCCCAGAGCCCAAGAAGCACCCATGAGAACTCTCACCGACGACCCACGACCCAGGCACAAGGCCCCCAGGAGGCTCAGAATAAGCCCCGCCCTCACCCACGACCCACGACCCAGGCAAGACGCCCCAAGAGGTCCAGCAGAGCCCCATGCGGCCTTCAAACGGCCCTCATGAGGCTCCGAAGAGCCTCCCGAGCTGTCTCCGAGCGGTTCCCCAGAGGGGCCCCAACAGGCCCCGACAGTCACCTGAGAGAGCTGAAACTCAGAAAACCCCCTCTCACGAACGGGCATCTCGAGCGTGCGGCCCCAAGACGACCCGAGGACGCCCCCCAGAACCCAAGAAGAAGGCCCGAAGAGGCCCCAAGAGGCCCCAAGGAGGCCCCCAGGAGCCCCAGGAGGCACCGGAGGGACCCCCAAGAGGCCCCCACGAGGCCTCAAAACTGCCCCCACAGGCCCACGAGAGTCCTTCGAAGAGACCCCACGAAACATCCGTTTGGACTCTGACCCTTAGCCCAGGCACGTTGGCGGGAAGGGCCGAAGGCCACTAGATAAAGCATGTTGTCATCGTCAGCCGTTGAGTATTGCGAGCGTCCAAGACGGCCCAAGAGACCCCCAAGATCGCCTCACGATGGCCCCCGAACCCCCGAAACGGCCCAAGAGACATCCAAGACGGCGCCAAGAGGGACCCCACCAAGGGCGCCACCGCAGAACCACTGGAATCAATCCACCCGTCCAAGAAGGCCCCGAGATCCCACAGAGCACTCCAAGAGAACCCCAAAAAGACCCCAAGAGGCTTCCAAGATGCCCGCGAAAGGCCCCCAAGAGGCACCAAAAAGCCTCCAAGAGGCCCACGAAGAGACCTCTTAGAGGCCTCTTGTCCACGACCTGGGCACGGTTGCGGGGTGGGCCGAAGGCCACTCAATAGTAGCCATCGCAAAACTGGAAGTGACAGTGTAAGAATTGAAAGTAGCAGTTGCAGCAGCAATGCTGGCAGAAGCTGCACCAGTGGCAGCACTGTTGGTAAGAGGCGATGCGGTAGCATTGATTCGCCGTCGCCGCAAAAACGGAAGTACAAGGTAACAGGTTCGGCTGCAGCAGTAGCAGCAACAGAAGTAGAGGCGATCGGCGAATGCGAACGGCAACTGTGGTGGCGGCAAAGGCGCCGAGCGGCGGCGAGGTGTGGGTCGGACCTCCCGCTTCCTTCCGATCGGCGCAAACTCCCGACCCTAGCACTGACTCCGATTCTTGATATGCTCAGATTGATGGCGAAGAAACAGACACCCGAAAAACGATTCCGGGAAGGACATTCCATCTCCCCCACGCACTTCCCCTCCCTCTCTCCCTCCCCCCCTCGATTCCCCCCCCCAATCCTCCACAACACGTGGCCAACATGCTAGCCCGAGCAAAACGATGCTTGGCAACATGGGGCAAGAATGAAATATGACCCTGCTAGGTCTTCGCAGTCGCGAACGTCATTGCGATGATAGTAAGTGGCAGCAGCAAGCGTAGAAGCAGCAATGACAATTGCAAGGTTGGGGGTGACGACAGCGAGCAATGTCCGGCCTGGAGCCACTTGACCA